ATATATATATATATATATATATTATAATATATATATATAATATATAAACTATTGATGTATTGTGTAGGGCTGCAACTAACGATTATTTCAATAATCGATTCATCGGCCGATTATTTTTTCGATTAATCGATGAATCTGCAAAAAACCCCACAACGTTTTAATTTCCACCCCTTTATTCCAAAATTGAACATTTGACTGACATAGCAATTCACACAAAAAACAGGTTGCCGTTTGACTATTCTGTTAGTAAAATATTGAATAAAAAAAATAAAAGTTAGTCAAACAGTTTAAAAAAACAAATGTACACAAAATTATATACAAATGTATGCTTTATACCTGCACAATATGTAGCTACTTTGTAAAATGTGTCCTTGAGGGAAGAGTGTAACCTGGATTAAAAGTGTGGATTATTGTAACCTGGATTAAAAATATGGATTATTGTAGTGAAGCCTTCGTCTTCAACCATCGACAGAGGCCTCATGTCAGTGATGATCATGTTCAGGATGTTTCAGCGAAGACAGCTGCTGCTGTGGTGTCCATGATGTCTGTCCATCATGAAGGATGTTGTTGTTTGTTGTTGTTTTCTGGAATGAGAGAGTAAATATGTATTATATCATAATTTAACTCAAGAAATGCCTTGTTTCACTTACAGTGTTAGGTTCAGGCAAAAGTAGCTAAAAGAGCAATTAAACACACACATATATAAAATACTTAATTACACACATTTGAGTAGATGTAATAAATTACTTTAATTCCTATTTAAATGCAATTCATCCTGCCATACAAGCAGTGTCTTCAGACTTTGCCAGCAAATTAAAAGTTGAAGCTTAATCATTAAATTATTATCTTTGTGTTAGATTTATTTATAAATCACATTTAAACACTGCTTGTTCCAATTAAATTAAATAAAAAGTAACACACGTTCTCTATCACCATCGTTAATCAATAAACAAACAAACAGCAGCTTCATCTACCAGACAGACTGACGTTACATTTTCTCTCTTGAAACAGAACAAATGTGTTAAATTGTAGAGACTCACCTGCAACACGAGTTGGGAGTGAAACATGTTGTATCCGCTGCAGCTCGTGACTCCGACATGTTTACGTTTTATCTCTGTGGTTCTCCCGTGTCGTGTCGGTGATTTTCAAAGCGACATGCTTCTCATTTTTTATCTTTGTGAAGTTCTCCCACACTTTGGAGGACTTGGGTCGAACCGTTTTCTCTGCGTTGGTCATTTGTAAAATTTACTTAAATTTCCTTTGAAAACAGTCTCTGCTCTGCTCCCCCCTCGCTCTGTTCAACTTGCGCTGCAGTTTTTATTTTTTTCAAAACTTTATTCAGTCAGTCAGCATTGACAATGAACTGCCCGTGAACAAAACGAAACTGCTCTGCAGTGCCGTGAAAGTCTCATAATCGCGCGACACAACAAATCGATAACGAAATTCATTGCCAGCGCTTTTAATCATCGATTTTTATCGATTTTATCGATTCCTTGTTGCAGCCCTAGTATTGTGACTGAACTCGCTGGAAAACAGTGAAACAATTTTCATTTAGTTTTTACTCTGAACCTGAAATGTTTGTGCTACAGGAGGAAGCTGCCACAGTACTCACACCAGTGAAGAAAAAGATAAAAAATGTGGCGATCTTCTTGAAGGTAAAGTGCGATGTGTTGTCATCACTGTATGTTTCCATACAATGGCAAAATTAGTTCTCTGCATTTAACCAATCACACATGAGATACATCAAGGTGGAGCAGTGGGCAATCAGCTGCCTTACCTCTACACCATCTCGGACCCCAAGAGATTAGCCAAGAACAAATGGGACAGTAAGAGGATGGAATATAAGGAGATGCAACATAGAGAGCAAAGGCAAAGCAGAAGGAGTATGATGGGTTGTATGGGAGGCTGGACACTAAAGAGGGAGAGAAGGACTTGATTTGACTGGAGAGACAGAGGGATCAGGCTGGAAAGGATGTGCAGCAGGTTAGGCTTGTTAAAGGTAGAAATGGTAATGTTCTAACAAGCGAGGAAAGTGTGAAGGCAAGTTGGAAGGAGTAATTTGAGAAGCTCATAAATGAAGAGACCTTCTGCGACTGAGTGTTTAAAGCTTAACATGTAGAAGTCATTACCAGGTATCTCAGCATTTTGCATCTAAAGACAGTGAAGTGATCCCTGAGCAGTTAACAGATAAAACATCCGGAGTTAAAGAGGGATGTTTTCATTTCAGAACGACGACGAGGAAGACGAGGATGAGGATGGTGACGATGCAGAGGAGCTGCTGGGGAAAGGGGCTCGCAGCGCCGCCCTGCTGGCTGACAGAACCAGAGTAAGTGTTGCTGTTTGTGTTGCTGCTCCTGTGATCAGTGTTTTCTCCGTCTTCATGCTGCGTATAACTAAGTGTGTGAATGTCTTTGTACTCCATCAGCTACTTGGGAAGGTAAGTATTGGTTTTTCTAAAATGTCATCAGCCAAACTGATTGGAAAGCTCCCTGCTGATGGGAAAGGTCATTTTGAGTGATTTTTAATTTGTTATACTTTGTTGTGCTTTTGGAATTTTTTTTTCCACCATCTAAAGTCGTCTGGTTTTTGCATGTATGTTTTCATCCTAAGAATATTTTCTCATGTTTTTTTTTAAAATAAAAGTTGTTTTGTTCCTCATATCATGTTTAGAACGAGATGACGGCAGAGGAGAAGAGGCGAGCTCACCAGAAGGAGTTGGCCGGTCATCTGAACGAGGAGGCCAAACGCCGCCTGACGGAGCAGAAAGGAGAGCAGCACACCCAGAAGTGAGTGTTCGAGCCATCATCAATAAACGAGGCTCTTTTTGGTAGATTTCAAGAAGCTCCTCATATATCTCTATACTCTTTAACTAGGTTACACTTGCTTTGTGTACCAACAATCAAGCCAGTTTCTTCCAAATGGCATCAAATATTTAGATATAACTGTTGACAGTCTTGCAAACCTATACACACTCAGTTACATCCCACTGCTTAAAAAGATGGAAAACGTCCAGCTGAGATTTGACTCTGATTGACAGAATTAACTGTAAAAAGTAACATAATACCTCGATTACCATGTCTTTTTCAGTCTATGCCCATTCCATTATCAAATATTTTCTTCAAAACATTAAACATGTCAAGACAGTTTACATGGAGATGTAAAGTTCCACTGACATTCGATCCTTGGATTATAAATTTGGAGGCCTTCGACTACCCAGTTAAAAATAATGATAATAATATGTAGCAGCTCAAATAAGATTCATCTAATTTTTCTTTGAAAAGGATGGTATTCCCTCCTGGATTCAAATGGGACTTTATTCTCTTACAATTTCTAAGAAGACAACCAACCCCATTATGAGACACCTGGTCAAGGTGTGGTATGTGAACCAGAAGATCCTGGGACTGGAAAAAGGATTATCTCTGAAAACACGGGTTGATCAGAATCAGAATAAGCTTTATCATCATTGTACTGGGATACGGTGAGATTATGTTCGTACAGTCGTCTGAAAGATGGGCGAAGTGCACGTTGCTGCTACAAGAGCGCGCCCTCTTATTCTTTATCAGAATACTTTTTTAGATCAAAAAAGGTAAAAAGGCCATGAGGATAGATGGTGGTATTACAAAAAAAAGATCTCTTCATATCTTGTCCTATCAGGACCCGATTTGAGACATCAAAAAACTCTACCAGCAAGCACATTTATAAACGCAATTACATGTGCATTTGACGTCAAGATTTGCGATAGACAAAGCTTTTTCCTTAGTTTACCCATGTCCCAGGAGAAATGTGATAGTCAGCCCGCATCCGAGGCCAAACGGGGGAGTCGGATTCAGATAAGCCACAATTGTTGATTTCCTTCAGGCTGATTGTTTTTTCTTGTCAGCCTTGAGTCCTGCTGGTACTTTCCACATCCAAAATGGCCAAATTTATTGGCAATCCACTGATTTGTGCTGAGTCTTCTTCAAGGTGGAATCCAACATTCTGGCGAGTCCTAGAAGTCGCAGGTGGCCTTTGATTCTCACAAATCGCTTCAATCTTAGTTTGGCTCGTAAATCGGCTGATTTTGAGTACTTGTAGCACGAACCAAACCTTCACGCAGACACTGAAGTTTTACCATGGTCGAAACTGCTGTTGATGTCTTCTTCAAAAGTTGATAACGGGGACCTGCCGATGCCAGAGAGCAGAAACCCTGCTATCATGAATTCACTTATATAAACATCTTCGGTGTCCTCCTCCTGAGACAGAACTGAAAAGCACATCAGCTGCCAAACTCCCCACGGATCCCTGGTGTATCCTGCAGCATGAGTCTCAGCAGGACATGAGGACCCTGTCATCTTGTTAAAAATATTTTTTGATTGCATTGAAAGGCCAGCTCACCAGATCCATAATGATATTTTTTCGTTCGTAAGATGTGTACCAGGAGCTCCAAGACACACACACAGAGCAAAAGCAGGAGGAAGAGGAGAAAGTGATGATTCAGAACAAACTCATACCCATGACCCTCAACAAGATCCTGGAGAACTGCCATCACCATGGAGTTCTGCATCGGAGGACAGTTCTGAAAGAGGACTTTAAATGTCAAAGAGGAAATATAGTTTTTCTAAGAAAAGTTTATTTTATCTTCACTTTTTAAAAAAATCTTTATCCAGATGTTTCTTTAAGTCTTGGCTCATTAATTGAGACTTCATCTTTCTCTCACAGGGCCAGAAAATCAAACGTGTCTTATAAAAACGTGTCTCAGATGCCCAGAGAAAAGGAGATCAGAGACATGAAGATTTACATCGACAAGAAGTACGAAACTGTTGTCATGCCCGTTTTTGGCATCGCCACACCATTTCACATCGCAACCATCAAGGTACACTGACGTTTAAATACTTTAATACTTTAGATAAAAGGCTTAAAACCAACTGGAGGGTATACTGATGCACTTCTTTGGTTCTTCTTTCCTCTAGAACATCAGTATGTCTGTAGAAGGAGACTACACCTACTTGAGGATCAACTTCTACGTCCCTGGCAGCTCTCTGGGACGACAGGAGGGAAACATCTTCCCCAACCCCGACGCTACGTTTGTCAAAGAAATGTAAGTTTTTCTAAACGTCTTAATATGAAAAGTTTTTGTAAATTCAATGTTTTATGATCCGCTGTTGTTCAGAAGTACTTTAATCTTTCTAAATGAGTCTACATTTGTATTATTACATGTATTATTTGTATTCTAACTAGAGAAATTGCATTTTGCAAATTGCAAATTAGCTTAAAAATGTGGAATTAGCTGAAAATGCTAAAATTAGCATAAAACAGCTAAATAGTAGCTGAAAAAGCTGAAACCTGCAGAAATATGCTGAAAGGGGCATAACAAGCTGAAATTAACAGAAAGAAGTTAATTAAGCTGAAAGTAGCTGAAATTACCATGAAAAACTTGAATTTATCTGAAAACCGCTGAAATTAGCTAAAAAAATGCTAAAAATGTAGCTATAAAAGTAGAACAAGCTTAAATTAGCAGAATAAAGCAGAAAGAACACGTTTCCCCAATTTAGCTGAAAGAAGCAGAAATGAGCACAAAATAGTGGAAATTATTTGAAAACAGCTTAAATTAACAAAAAAAACTGCTGAAAATCAGTTAAAGCAGAAAGAAGCTTACAAGAAGGAAGTGGAGAGAGCACATTTTTACAGGATTAGGCTGAAAAAATAAAATGAGTGCAAACAATGTGGAATTGGCTGAAAAGTCAAAAATTAGCATAAAACGGCTAAACAGTAGCTTAAATAGCAGAAAAGGCTGAAACTCTGAATCAGAATCAGAATAAACTTTATTGGCATTGCACCGAGATACAACGCGAATATGTACGTACAGTCGTCCGAAGATGGGCGGAGTGCACGAAGCTGCGGCTATAAATAGCGCAGCCTTCTTATTCTTATTCAGAATAATATTTTGCTTAGATGAGAAAAGGAAAGAAAACATGAGGAGAGACGGTATAAAAAAAAGATCTCTCACACCGTGTCCTAGACAGGGCACGATTTGAGGCATCAAAAAAACCAACCACAGCAAAGCAACATAAACAGACGTTGTACATTTACATATAGGCGGTGAAAACATTGACTTTTTAAGGGAAAGTCATAGCATAGTCCAGAGCCCCCTCTCAGCCATTGTCCAGATAAGAGGTGACCACGTTCATCTTCAGCCCAGTTGAGGTTCTGTTACATGTCCACGGCCTTGGGGAAGGGAGGGGTGAGGAAACAGTCAAAGCATCTTTGTTGTTTTCAAAACATTCCAGGAGGAGTTGAGATAAGTCCGGCATCAAGGCCACAGTTTGGGTCAGGCAGAACTCGTGAATTGTTGTTTCTGCCTTTAAAGTCTCGCTGTACATATTCTCTGATGGAACTCCAAAACAGCCGAATTGATCCTTTACTCCAAAAGTCGAGCTCACAGCTTCTCCAGATTATTCCACCATTCATGAGTGTTGCCAGGAAGAACACAGTCCTGATAACAGCTGCTCCAATTCCCTGTCACAGCTCCACATTCAGTCAGAAGCAAGCTGAAAGAAGCTGAAGCAGAACAAAATGTGAAAGGAGCAGTAAAATGTTGTAAACGGCTCTAAAGATGTGAAGGAAGGACAACGAGTGCAATTCATTTTCTTTGAGAAAAAAATGGCAGAAAAGGCTAAATATTTCAAAAAGCTAACGTTGCACCAGTACCAAAAGTCACAGCAGGATCGTCCTGAATTCTGAACATTTTGATTTTTATTGAAAAAGCACAAAAAATGTGGAAGAACAATCAAACTGAAAAATACACTGAAAAAACTGGATGACAACAGAGTGAATGCTTCATCACAATCTGCTGTACTGTTTCAAACCAACCACTTCCTGCCTCCAGCACGTACCGAGCGTCCAACCTGAAGGCTCCAGGTGACACGTCGGTTCCCTCCACAAACCTCCAGAATGCCTTTCGCATCATTAAGGAGGTACAGAAGCGCTACAAGACGCGAGAAGCCGAAGAGAAGGAGAAGGAGGGCATCGTCAAACAGGACTCGCTGGTCATCAACCTGAACCGGAGCAACCCCAAGCTCAAAGACCTCTACATCAGACCCAACATCGCCCAGAAGAGGATGCAGGGCTCGCTGGAGGCTCATACTAATGGTGCGGAGACAGGAAGTCGCTTTAACACGTGTTAACCGCATTATGTTAACGTTCTTCATTCTCACCTTCTCAGGTTTTCGTTTCACCTCGGTTCGCGGAGATAAAGTGGACATTCTTTATAACAATATTAAGCACGCCATCTTCCAGCCGTGTGACGGCGAGATGATCATCGTTCTGCATTTCCACCTCAAGGTGTGTGTGTGTTACACTTCATGCAGCTGTATGTTTCCACTTTAGAGAAGCTTGTAAGCAAAGAGCGTCTCTGAATGCGGCTGTGGCTGGAGGTCGTTTGTAAACAGCAGCCTGACCCGTTTGTGGCTTCTCCCCAGAACGCCATCATGTTCGGTAAGAGGCGCCACACAGACGTGCAGTTCTACACGGAGGTCGGGGAGATCACCACAGACTTGGGCAAACACCAGCACATGCACGACCGGGACGACCTGTACGCTGAGCAGATGGAGCGCGAGATGAGGCACAAGCTCAAGTCCGCCTTCAAGAACTTCATCGAGAAGGTGGAGACGCTGACGAAGGAGGAGCTGGAGTTCGAGGTGCCCTTCAGGGACCTGGGGTGAGTGGACCAGCACATGAAGGATTAGTGTGAGGATGAGGAGATGCTGTGATGGGCTGATGGTTGGGTATGTTCTATGTTCAGGTTCCAGGGCGCCCCCTACAGGAGTACCTGCTTATTACAGCCCACGTCCAGTTCTCTCGTCAACGTGACAGAATGGGTAAGAACCAGGTCTGCAAACTCCCAGGAGCTTTCAAAGGTGGAAACTTTCCCTGGGGGGGGGTGGGCGAGGGTCACATCTGTGTTTAGCGTAGCTGTTGGTAATTGTTGACGGGTGGGGGAGACAGGACGGTGTCACGCCTGCTAGCTTAGCTCTATGTTGCTGCCAGTTTTTATTTACCGGGTGTCGGGGTTTGTCACATCTGTGTTTAGCATTGCGGCCGGTAATTCGCGACAGGTGCGGGGGACGTGACGGAGACACGTCTGTGTTGCCCACCCGCTAGCTTAGTGCTACATTGCGGACGGTTTTTATTGACAACAGGTGAAGACGGAGTCACGTCTGTGTTTCACGCCTGCTAGCTTAGCGCTTTGTTGCTGCCGGTTTTTATTTACCAGGGGTGGGGAAGTGGTGGCAGGGTTTGTCACATCTGTGTTTAGCGTTGCTGCCGGTAATTTGCGACAGGTGCGGGGGACGGGACGGAGTCACCTCTGTGTTGCCCACCTGCTAGCTTGGCACTACATTGCTGCTGGTATTTGTTGGGGGGGAGGGGGATGCGGTACGTCAGTAGCATTTTATTTTTGCAAGCATGATTGTATTGTGCCCCATGCTACATCAATTCATTTCAGTTTATAAGGTGCCAAATCACAACAAAGTTGTCTCAGGGCACTTTACAGAAACATTCACAAACATAAAAGCCAATTAGTAAAGTTCTCTATCTAAGGAATCCAGCAGACAAGATGAATTTTGGCTTTGTTGCAGTCTCCCATCCTGAGCAAGCACAGTGGCAACAGTGGAATGAAAAAACTCCCTTTTAAAGGAAGAAACCTCCAACAGAACCAGGCTCAGGACAAGCAGCCATCTGCTTTGAGCGGCTGGTTTGAGAGGACAGGAAGGAGAGACAGACGAACACAGAATGGTAGGTCCAGGTATAGGTCCAGGTATAGGTCCAGGTGTATCTGAAAGACGAAAAAAACACATGTTAAGGATGGAAAAAAATTACAAATACAAAACAGGTTGAGAGTAAGTAAAGATGGTAGCAATAGGAATGCGCGATGTAAACGGTACACGGTAGAAACGATAGAAATTTAGCCTGCGATAGAGATTTGTCTTCTACCGGCTAACCGCAGTAATGCTGTGTCTGAAGTAAAATCAGAGTTGTCAGTTTAATCGTTACTTTTTTTAGTTGAAAACTGCGCAAGTGGCGTTAGTCTTTTCTTCGAGAGCTAAGTAGCGAAGCTACAAGCTAACTCCAGCCGGCATGCCGTAGTGTTGCCGTATTCTGACGCATGCGCAAAACGCTGTGTTCCGTCAACAGTTTTTCCATCGAAAGTTAAAGTCAGTGTTGGTCATCTTTAGAGAAACCTGCTCGCTGATCTGTGATAAGAACGCTGTGTTGTGGGATTTTACTGCAAGACCCTCTGGTCAAAGCCACAGAGTCATTTTGTGTCAGCTCTCCATTAAAGCGAAAGGAGACGCCCACTAGAGGTTTGGAGGGTGAAGTGTTTTCAGTGTAAAATGCTGCTCTGTTGCTGTTCATTTCTTAAGTAAGACTGGAAACTGTTAAGAGTTAACGTACTTTTTGTTTAAAACATGACTAAAACTACATTTGATATCTTTTGCACTGTTTTGCACTTCAAGAAAGAAGCCTAATACTTGATTTGTTTATTATTTAAAAACTCTCTGGACCTAGTAGTGGAATTTTCTCAATTCAAAATATATTATGGCAAAAGGACACCCTATGCTTCTTTTTTTTTTTTAACAAGTTTTATACCAAAAACGTATCGCGATATATATCGTTATCGCCACCCTTCACAATACATATCGCAATATGAATTTTATGCCATATCACACATTCCTAAGTAGCAGAGTGAAAAAGTGTGGTCAGTTTGTCCTCCAGCAGTCTAAGCCTATAGCAGCATAACTAAGGGACAGCTCAGGAACCCCAAGCCAACCCTAACTACAGGATTTAGCAAAAAGGAAAGTGTTAAGACTAATTTTAAAACTGGATAATGTGTCAGCCTCACGGACAGAGATTGGAAGTTGGTTCCACAAGAGAGGAGCCTGATAACTGAAAGATCTGCCTCCCATTCTGTTTTTGTAAATTCTAGGAACCACAAGTAAACCTGTAGTCTGAGAGCCAAGTGCTCTGTTAGTAAAATATGGAACAAGAAGATCTGTAATATAAGATGGAGCCAGGTTGTTGAGAGCTTTGTAGGTTAGAAGTAAGATTTTGAATTCAACTCTGGATTTGACAGGGAGACAATGGAGAGAAGCTAAAACTGGAGAAATATGATCTCTCCCACTAACTCCAGTTAAGACTCTGGCAGCAGCATTTTGGATCAACTGAAGACGTTTTAAAGAAGTATTTGGACACCCAGATAATAAACCGTTGCAATAGTCCAGTCTAGATGTGTGCAGTGCACGGACCAGTTTTTCCTGCATCATTTTCAGATAAGATGTTTCTAATTTTAGTGATATTACGCAGGTGGAAGAAGGCTGTTCTAGTAACGTTTTTAATGTGGGGGACAAAAGACATGTCCTGATCAAAAATAACACCAAGATTTTTAACATTAGAGCTGGAGGACAGATTAATGCCATCTAAGGAGGGAGAAAGACTGAAAAATTCATTCCTAAGGTGCTCAGGTCCAAGAACCAAAAACTCAGTCTTGTCTGTGTTCAAAAGGAGAAAATTAAGGGTCATCCAGGTTTTTATGTCTTTAAGACTTGCTTGTAGTCTAAGTAGCTGATTGGATTCATTGGGTTTAATGGACAAATATAATTGTGTGTCATCAGCATAACAATGAAAATGTATCCCATGCTGTTTAATAATTTTACCTAACGGAAGCATATATAGAGTAAAGAGTATTGGCTCAAGCACTGAGCCCTGACGAACTCCATGACTAACTTTGGTGTATGAAGAAGATTTATTATTTACATTTACAAACTGGAATCTTATCAGATAGATATGATTTAAACCATTTTAGAGCTGTTCCTGTAATCCCAATATCATATTAAAGACTCTGTAGTAAAGTATTGTGATCAACTGTATCAAATGCAGCACTGAGGTCTAACAGGACCAGTATAGACACAAGTCCATTGTCTGAGACCATGAGAATATCATTAGTGACTTATACTAGTGCTGTTTCTGTGCATAATGAGCTCTAAACCCTGACTGAAGCTCTTCAGATTATTTCTTTTTAGATGTTCACGCAACTGACCTGCAACTATTTTCTCTAGAAATTTTGAGATGAAAGTTACATTAGATATAGGTCTATAGTTGGCCAGAATTTCTGGATCAAGGTCAGACTTCTTAAGTAAAGGTTTAATTACAGCAACCTTAAAGCTCTGTGGTACATAACCATCCATTAAAGACAAATTAAGTAGATCCAAAATGTGAACATTAATTAGAGGAAATACCTCTTTAAACAGTCTGGTTGGGATGGGATCTAGCAGGCATGTGGATGGTTTGGATGAGATTATTATTTTTGACAATTCAGAGAGCTCAACAGGACAAAAACTGTCCAAACATAAATCAGGCTCTAGTGAAATTTTTAAAGTTGCCTCATTTGACAGGGGACTAGAGATAGTAGAAGGAAGGATGGTTTGAATTTTCTCTCTAATTGAAATAATTTTATTTATAAAGAATCTCATGAAGTCATCACCACTTATAGTTGTAGGGATACATGGTTCAACAGAAATGGGACTTTTAATTAGTCTAGCAATAGTACTAAACAGAATCCTAGGGTTATTTTTATTCTCCTCTATTAAAGATGAGTAATATAAAGTTCTAGCTTTACGGAGAGCTTTTTTATACGTTAGCAGACTATCTTTCCAAGTTTAATAAAATTCTTCAACATTAGTAGAGCGCCATCTTCTCTCCTGGTTTCTAGATGTGTGCTTTAAAGTACGTAACCCAGAATTGAACCAAGGAGCCAGTTTCCTCTGATTGATTACTTTCTTTTTCAGTGGAGCAATTTTATCAAGTGAAGTTTGCATTGAAGTTGTAAATGATCAACTAGATGATCTAAGTCTCTGTTCTCTGATGCATTACTCTGCAAGACAGAGGAAAACATTGATGGAAGCGATTGTTTAAATTTGGATTTTCTGATAAGCACCTGCTGAGATGAAATTTACTCTCGGTGACTGTGTAGTCATTTAATGTAAACTCAGAGGTTATTAAAAAATGGTTGATGAACTATTACCGAGTCCTTAATCTCTATACCATAGGTCAGAACTAAATCAAGAGTGTGATGATAAGAATGAGTAGATTTGCAAACGTTTTGGGTAAAACCAAATTAGTTTATTAAATTATTAAAGGCTATGCTTAAACTATCACTCTCAACATCTACATCAATACCGACAGTTGTCAATGGAGGGAGGTGGGGGGTCGATAGACGGGGCCCAGTTCTGGTGACGGGGCGAGGCGCCCCGCTTGCGTAATGGTAGGGGAAACACTAATACTGATTGTTTGTGGTTAAATTGTTGTCTTTAGCCGCCGTTTGTGGTGACCCTCGACGAGGTAGAGCTGGTCCACTTTGAGCGCGTTCAGTTCCACCTGAAGAACTTTGACGTGGTCATCGTCTACAAGGACTACAACAAAAAGGTCACCATGATCAACGCCGTGCCTGTGAACTCTCTGGACCCCATCAAGGAGTGGCTCAAGTAAGCGCCCGCTCAGCGTGATGCACACAAGAGCGTAGCGGCAGAGTTCACCCGGTTCCTCTGGTTTCTTCCTCAGCTCCTGTGACATCAAGTACACGGAGGGAGTCCAGTCTCTGAACTGGACCAAGATCATGAAGACCATCGTTGACGACCCCGAGGGTTTCTTTGAGCAAGGAGGCTGGTCTTTCTTGGACCCGGAGAGCGAAGTGAGGACCCACATTTTTGTTCTTATTTTTTTGTTTACTCCTCAAAAACCATTTGTCCTTCAAATTTTCTTGTTTTATATCACGTTAAACGTTACATGTTACACGTTACATGTTATGCTGGACAAACGTTTTCTTTGTTTCTGACGCTTCGTTCCAGGGAAGCGGCGCAGAGGAAGACTCCGAGTCAGAAATGGAGGATGAAACGTTCAACCCATCCGCAGACGAAGAGGAAGAGGAGGAGGAAGACAGCGATGAAGATTACAGCTCAGACACAGAAGACTCGGGTATGATTATTTTTATGTTAAAATGATTTCTACCTATAATTTATTGTGGTATGAAAACAGCATCAAGTATTCATAGTATCAACAGATTGTTAGTATTGTGACAACTGTACTCCTGGATAAGATCAATTTAATTTATTTTACATTTTTATGAACAGAACAGCGGAAATGGATTCTTCACTGAGTTCCTTCTGTCTGTTTGTAGACTACAGTGCTTCACTTGGCAGCGAGGAGGAGAGTGGGAAAGACTGGGACGAGCTGGAGGAGGAAGCCAGGAAAGGTTCGTATCTAACATCAGAAGAGGAAGTGATTCTCAAATGTGTGGTCGGGAGTTCACAGCGAGTCACATGAAATACCACATGGGGGGTCCTCAAATCTCTACATCAGGGGTGTCCACAGTTTTTCAGCATGGGAGCTTCTTTTAAAATGACCAAGTCAACCCCCTTTTACATGAGAACAACCTCTGGAAACGTTTATGTTTTTCAATGTTCAATGGGGATAAACAAAAACAGAGCAGGTTTACATGAAAAACGCTTCATGTCAATCGGGTTGCCAGATAAGAAATTAAGAACTATAGTACTGTGGCTTTAAATTTATAATATTTTGACCTCAACTGTCATATGTGCTGAGTAAAGGTATTCTAACGTGAGGTGTGTTGTGTTTGTTGAACATGTGCACAGAAAAGGAGGGGGTTAATAAGACATTTTGAATTTATCTGGCAACCCTGATGGGCTCGGCTGCATTCATCGCACATGCAGTGTCTGCATGACAGTTGCGTCCAAACTGATGAATACAGTAATGTCTCGTTGTAACTGGATTTTATCAGTTTTGCTCCTACATGCTGAAAAAGGGTGAGCAGCACAAAAACACTCTGCTCACTGCCATTTATTATAAATGTTATTTTTTATAACTGTTTGTTATAATAAATAACAGTTATTACAAATAACAGTTAACAGTTATAACTGTTATTTATTATAACTTCTTAGTGCAGAAAAACTGGACTGCAGCCTCCTGTAGTGCTCATATGCCACTTCACATGTGCAAGTTCCCCCAAAAATCTCCACCTGGATTCAAAAACATCCAGATTCAGAGAGACATTGCGTTTGTTACGCGTCACCGCTGACAACCCGGAAATGTGGGCCAGTGTTGTTGCAAAAATCAATTGGCTGCCAAATGGCGGGAGCGTGCACGGGAGGACTTTAACAAGAATTTATCAAGATTTAGCACTTAAAAACAATTATTTGTTTGCTTGAAATTATAACAAAGGTGTGTCTCAGTCTAACGTTTGCTTAATAAATACACTTTGACGGTCAAATCAGCTGCATTTCAAAAGTATTTGTTGCCTTGGTGCTCTGGAAGTGCGCAAAGGGAGGAAATCAGTAAGGAGTAACACTGCATTTCTTCGAAATATAAAAATATACGCACCTAAAAACACAATTGTTTGCTCTACATTATATCGGTGTGGCTCAGTTGAACTTTTACTTAATAAATGCACTTCAATGGTCAAATTAGCTGCATTGCACAGAGGCAGCGCAGTGAAATGAAGCTGATTTGAGGTTGCTCCAGGCTCAGTGGAAGCGCTGCCCTCTGGTGGTAGAACTAGGTACAATAACTCAATTCAAGTGACTATTCACCATCATTATATCACTAATAAAACAAAACAATGTCATCACATCTTCGTGGTGTCACAGCTGCTGTAATGAACATATGAGACATATGAGGCTCAAAAGGAGGGCGGCACAGAGCTTCGAGAACCAAGGGCAGGTCCCAACCTGGTGCACGTGGAGCTGCCGTCGGGTGTGACCAAGTAGAGACTGGAGAAACTCCAGAACGGTGGGTACTGTATAGGTGACTGGATCCTCGTTGGGATCAGAACACCATTGGGAAAACAGACGCCACCTGTTTTCGTACTGCTGACGAGTAGAGGGTGCCCTGGCGCCCAGGATGGTGTGTCTGACGGGGCTCGAAACTCCAGTCAGCTGCTGTCCTAGCCTTGCAGTGGCCACACCCACAGCCGAAGACGTTGAGGATTGGGGTGCCGTATCAGTCCCCCTAACTGAGACAGCAAGTCCCTCCTGGTCGGAAGACACCATGGGATGCCCTGACATAGACTTCGTAGCAGTGGGAACCATGGTCGCGCTGGCCAATACGGAGCCACCGGCAGCATCCTGTGGCCCTCCTCGAGGACTCTGAAGGGTTGGCCAAATTAGAGAAAGGGGTGAAAAGGCATATAGAAGGACCCTTGGTCAAGGATGAGCCAATGCGTCCTGGCCCAGCGCACCCGACGCCCCCGTAAGAGAGTACCATAGGGGACACCGAGTCGACTCTTCCGTCGCAAACAGGTCTATCTCTGCCTGACCAAAATGATCCCAGATCATCAGCACTATGTCGCTGTAGAGGGACCACTCTCCCGGAGGGAGAGAAAATCTGCGACCTGATTGTGTCGCCCTGGTAAGTACGCTGCCCGCAGGGTGGACAGGCGAGAAGAGGCCCATTCCAGGAGCTCTCTGGACACTCTCTTAGAAGTTGTGCTGACCTGGTGCCCCCCTGATGGTTGATGTGGTAGACAACAGAGGTGTTGTCTGACCGAACAAGAACATGCCTCCCTTCCAGGTGAGGCAAGAAGTGCCTGAGTGCCAAGTGCACTGCACGCAGCTCCAGCACATTTATATTCTTGGAGTGGTCCCTTTGACCCCAGCGGCCCTGAACCGCTCTGTGTTGCCACACAGCCCCCCATCCCATGGAGCTGGCATCTGTCATGACTACTTCCCTGCAACACACTACCACTCCCATGGGGACACCCCTGGACAAATAATCTTCGTCCCTCCATGGAGTCAAGGCAAGAAGACATGACTGCATCACTGCAAGCTTGCGACGCCTGTGCAGCCTGGCATCCAGGTGAAAGCTGTTGAGTCACCTCTGCAAGGGGTGAAGTGACAGCAGTCCTAAGGGCACCACCTGAGTGACTGATGTCAGCTTGCCGAGTAGTTGCAGGAAGGCAACACAGGGGAGCTGCCTGCCCAGCCTGAACCGACTGACCAGCTGGAGTATGCCGGCCACCCTTTGAGCGGATGGGCAAGCTCTCATGGAAGATGAATCCAGAACCACCCCAAGAAAGGTGGTTGTCTGGGAAGGGATCAGGCAGCTCTTCTCCAGGTTGACATTGAGGCCCAACTGGGACATATGAGCAAGCAGGCGGTTTGTGTCGTGAAAGGCACAGGCCTGAGACGGGGCGCAGACAGGGCGCAGAGAAGCCAATCGTCTAAGTACGAATCTTCACTCCGCAGGCCTGCAGAAGAGAGAGGGCTGCCTTCACGCACCGAGTGAACACCCTCAGGGAGAGAGAGCGCCTGAATGGGAGTACCCGGAACTGCCAGTGGTGACCCCGATAGGCAAACCTGAGAAAGCGGCGATGTTCTGCCGCAATAGGCACATGAAAATACGCATCCTTCAGGTCTACAGACGTGAACCATTCTTCCCTCGTGACAGCCTGAAGGACTTCTGCTGTCGTGAGCATGTGGAAGGGCAGCTCCCTTAGGTACTGGTTGAGTCCCCTCATGTCTAAAATGGGACGAAACCCGCCCGTCCTCTTTTGCACGAGGAAGTAAGTCGAGTAACAGCCCCTGGGTTGTTGCAGAGGGTCCTCTGCCTCTATTGCACCCTTGGCCAGGAGGGCGCAAAGTTCCTGGTCTAGTGTTCGAGCTTTCATCGGGTCGGCCATTACAGTCATCTTGACCCAGCGTGAGATATGAGGCCGCCGTCGGAACTGTAGCCGGTAACCATGGGTCAGAGTGGCAACCACCCATGGGTCCACGGCGTGAGCAGCCCAGTAACTGAGCTGCTGGTGGGAGAAATATCCAACGGTCGGCCTGATGGCATCACCGTCTCCCTCCATGGCAGGGGGCGGCAGCCAGAGTCCCTGGTCCGAGCCTGCCCAGTTGATCAGTGGACCGACCCACGAAAGCTCCTGCTGGGCCTTTGCTGAACCGCATGAGGGTAAGGACCACCCGGCCAGTTATGACCCCCAAGCGGCGGCTGCATGCTGGAGTCAGCCGACGGGCGCCTTGGATGCCGAGGAGGTGGAGGGGGCATTGCCCTGCTAAGGCTTAAAAATTGGTGTCTTCTCTGTCGTGCCTGGACAGTCCGTTTCAGCGCTTCCAAGGCAGCCGAACTGAACAACTCCCCCGGTACCACTGGGACATTACGGAGGGTTCTATGGCATGGCTCAGTCAATGCTGACTGCGCCAACCAGACCTGTCGGCGATCCTGGACCAAGGAGGACATCACACGCCCAAGTTCCCTGGTCATTAGTGCAAAGGCCTGAAGCACTGCATCGCTAAAGCCCATTGCTGATGTCGCACCACTAGTCCCCTGAAGGGACGCGGAGAGGGCAAGCATGAGGTGTGCCAAGGAATTACCTAAGCGGCCAGCATGCGCTCCGGCGGCATAGGCTCTGCAGAGGAATTCATCCGTGACACGACACTGAGCTCGTGGGCACCAAACATGACTGCGCAGAGCTTCCTCTGGTGACACAATGAGAGAGGCAACAGCAGGTTCTATCGCTGGCATGCGATCCAAGCCTGCTGCAGCTGGCTCATGCATGGCCGCCAACACTCGGCCATCTGCGGAGAGGCGCGCAAAGGCTTTGGGGTCCCGCCAGCAACCATACAACTCCCTCAGGAACTCCTCTGATGGAGGGACAGAAAAGGAAGGAGGGGTCAGTCCGCGCCTGAAGAAGGCACTTCCAGGGGTGGATGCCTCTGGTTGCGGGACGTCCAGCTGCAGTTGCCTCAGGGCCATACGCATGACGTCCTGCATCGAGCCATCACCTGACCCACTAACTGCTCTCCGAGAAGAAGAAAGTGAAGCTGTCTCTGAGACTTGAGATGAATGCCCATCCTCCTCACCTAAAAAGTGAGAGACAGAGGCAGCCAAGGATGGCACATCTTCCTCCGCGGCCAGTTCAGGCATGGGTGGGGAGGAGAGTCCGGTCGCTGCCACTGGTTCAGTTCCCAGTTGGCGTACCTGAAAAAGGGACTTCATCTCTGCTAATTCAGCGGAGAACTGCTCCACCCTTGTGGAGAGGCCCCTATCAGACCTGGCTCGCTTCTTCCCAGGAGGGGCCACAGAGACTGTGACCTCAGTCCGGCGCTTCGATCGCCTAGGTGGAGCCTCAGCCTCCTGCCCAGAAGGCGGGAGGTCATCGCCAAGTTTGGGGCGAAACTGGGCCTGCCGGGCCACCCTCACAGCACGTGACATGAAGTTGCAATTCATGCAGGGGTTCTCTTGACAGGGCCTCCACCAGATGGTCATGTCCAAGACAGGCAGGACACAGGTCGTGACCATCATCTGTCTGGAGCATGGCTTCACAGACTGTACAGCAGTGAGAGCCGTCCACGCTCCTTACCCAGCTATGTCCAAGATATAGGACGAAAAAATTACAGCAAGAAACTCAAAGGTTAACACCGCTAGCTCAGCTGGTAAAGAGGACAATTGGGAGATGAGGCGTGAACGCTCGCCTTCACCAATTAAAACAAGGCCAGGAACTCAGCTGGCTACGTAATAAGCAAACTTTGGAGCTCAGTCCAACCGACCACGTGGTTGGAGGTCTCCAGTAAACAGGAGCGGAGCGAATGCCACCGCTAACCAATAGCAAAATATAAACAAAAAAACCACTACTCACCAGTGTTAAATCACACACATGGTAGTCATAAACAACGTCGGAGCACAGTCCAGCCGACCATGCGGTTGGAGGTCTCCCAACAAGCGGGAGCGGAGCGAACGCTACCGTTAACCAACGGCGAAATATAAGGAAAACACTACTCACCGGTGTTGAATCACACACATAGTAGTCAGACGCTGTAAGTTGGGAGAGGCGGAAACCGCCATAGCCCCCAACGAATCAGCAGAAAATACCTTTGAACAGGGTTAAACCGTTGCAGCCCTAGGAGGGCGAACGCGCTACTCCCGCAGACGGGCAGTCGGGCTTCCGACGACGGTAAAAAGTTCAGAAAAGGTTCAAAGGGCTGAAGCCCTGAATTGAACCGCGCGCGACAAGAAAAAAAGAGCAGAGCTGCGGATGACGTCGGGCTATATAGCCTCTGATTGGTCATCCGTGTCACACCTGTGACTCCGTTGGTATCATTACTCGAACAGCTCATGCACAAAGGGAACATTCGGTGCTTTCAGCACTGCCCTCTGGCTGTCAGGAGGGATGAAATAGAACTTCAGTTGGTTCTAGATGCAGGTCACAGTCCTTTTACTTGAATCTATTTTATGCTAAGTTTTAAATGGACTCACCTCATTGATGTTAATGTGTCATGCTGATTAATTTAAAATATTTTCCATAGACTGAACTGAAAAATGGGAGCGACTTGTGTCTTTGAGACCAGCTGCTGCAAACAGAGTATATGGATCCGGTCTAAAACTGGTTTATTAATAAGTGGTCACATGGTAAATCTCTTGAGTTTAGTTTTTTTTTATAAAATGGAGTCATCAATCACACAGATTGGACTTGATGTGTTCAGGTACTGGACTAAAACAGAAACCGTTGAATTAAACTCAAAGCCCTTCAGAAAGTCTAAAGACCTGCTCATCAAGAACCTCTTTAAATATCTCCAGTCTTGTCTGCTGATGCCGCAGGGCTGTGTGTTTGTATATTTGTTTTTTTATGCGTTTGTTCGTGTGGGAGGAAACTCCCTGTCCGGTTTTTACGAGCTCAGGTCTGAAAAGTTTTATGGCTGCAGTCAAATCAGATTTGTTCTTTCAATCAAATCTCAGACTCACCGTCTGCGCTTGAACTCGCAGATGATCAGGTCGGATTAATCCATCCCACCCTGGGTTGCTATGGTAACGAGCAGCACCAGTAGCTCAGATACTAAAGTGTTACTTTTTCCTCCTCCTCCCAGCTGACCGCGAGAGCCACTACGAAGACGAAGACACTTCAAACAGGAAGAGGAAGGTCCGATCGTCGGCCCCGCCCACCAAGAAGAAGAGACGATCCTAAACTTTTAACACACACACCACACACACACTGCCAAACCCTGTTTACTCTCAAACCTTTACCCCAGCTGGCTCTTTACACAAACCCTCTGTACATAGATGTAGACCCCCCCCATCTCTTAATTTTATTTTTATTTTTTTATTTTTTCATTTTCATTCCTTGTTCTTTTGTTTTTCACCCATCTGAGGGGGGGGGGGTAGTGTGTGTGCATGTGTTTAAAGGGGTTTTTATTGCAATGTTTTCTGTTCAAATTTCATTTCTTAAGTAATGAAAAATAATTAAAAAAAAATAAAGACTTGACATATCCTCTGCCAAGTGTTTTTATATAAATTTAAATAAGGAAAATCTCCAGCCTCATCAACGTTTCCTTCTATTCGTTGTTTTTTCATTCATGGTTTCTGAATTATTTTTTTAACGGGGTTTGTGAACTTACACACCTGCGTCATCTTCCTCACACGTGTCTGTTCGTTTCATCCATCGGAGTAGATATGATGTTGTACTGTTTAATTCTGAAATCCTCCTTTTTGTTTTTGTAATAAAATTAAAAAGAACTGTAGTTTTGTTTTTAGTTCCCTGTTTTGTCTTTTTCCTAACACTTTTTGGCTGAAAGGATCGATTTTTAAATCTAGCGATTCGATTAAAAAGCAGCAGTTTAAAAATATTTATAACCCGTGTTAATAAACGATCAGAATGTGGACTTTGTCTTGTCGGAGCGTTGAATTTAAATACCAATAAACCCAGAGTTAACTCACTGTCACATGACCCGAAACAAACAGGAGCAGCATCCAAACAATACCCGAGTCAGACGTGAAGCGTTGCTCTCTGCACTTTGAGAACATGGAACATCAGTAAACATCTACTGGTGAGAAAACGGATTTGATGCTTTAACAGGGGTGTCAGACTCACAAAACGGGGCCATAATTAAAAACTTTTTCAAACTAAGGGCCAGTTTCAGAATCTACATGAATTCAAGTTTGATACCCAACATATTTTCTTGCAGGTTCCTCAACAAGAGCTTGATTGGCAGTGGTGGAGAAAGTACTCGAACACTAAGTTAAAGTACAAATAAACAGACAAAAATTTACTCTAGTAAAAGTAGTACCACATTAACATTTTTACTAAAGTAAAAGTTAAGTACTTGCTTTTAAAATACTTAAAGTATTAAAAGTAAAAGTACTTCCCGAATGCATTACATAATGCAATGGTCTACATATCTTTAAGTCTGCCTACCGTATGTATATTTTCTGTAATACATTAATAGTGTTGAGCCATTTTAATGGACAATGCTGCAGATTTGCAGCATTTGGCCCCCAGGCCTTGAGTTTGACACATGCTTTAAAAGGACTCATGTTCCCACTTGTTCACATTACAGCAGGTTATTGAGGTTAAAAAATCAAACGTGTTGCATCTTCTCGCTGTGGTACAAATAGCACCAGATTTACTCGGGAGCTTTTGATATCAGCTTGTTGCAGCTTAACTAATTATATGATTATCATGAGTTGTGATGAAAAAACGAGATTCAACCAAACTGCAAAATTTGCAGCAATGAATGTTTAAGAGAAACCCTGTGGAGAGTGGATGGCTCGACTAATGTTGCTAATAACTACTGCAGCTGCGTTTTATAGTTTTGTTTTTTCCTTTCTCTTTTACCCTTCATTTATACAGATAGTCTCGTTGAGTCACAAGAACTCATTTTCAAGAGAGACCTGTTTTTGGGAGCAAATGTTGGGAGTTAAGGGCCCAAAGTGGGGCAAGTGAGGGTGAAGGCAGGTGTGGGTGTTTCACCTTTTCCACCCACATTTTAATGGTGACTGTACCGGGAGTTGAACCTACAGCTTTCCAAACACAGGCCCATCTCTAACCTCTACGCCACTACTCCCCAAGTTATGTTTCCATCAAGTCACATTTATTTATAAAGCACATTTAAAACCGCAGCTGTGACCAAAGTGCTTCACAATAAGATCCAGGCAGTAAATAAAGATATAATGAAAGCATCAAAAACAATGAAGATGAAATGCTAAATCAGATCACACTGTGGTAAATATCAGTGAATTCAAGTGTTTTAAAGGAGAGATATAAAAGCAGGAAGTGAAGCGACCTGTCGAATGTTGATGGGCAGATTGTTCCAGAGTTTAGGACCCATGACTGAAAAAGCCTCATCGCTGCGCTTCAACCTGGGTTTTGGTACAACCACAAGCAGCTGGTCAGATGACCTCATCACCGGAGAAGGAACATACGGGTGAAGTAGCTCAAAGATGTGAAGGGCCATTAATGCACTTAAATGTCAACAAGAGAATCTTAAAATCAGTTCTGACATGCACAGGGAGCCAGTGAAGGGAGGACAACCGGTGAAATGGGCTCAAACGTACGAGTTCCTGTTAAGAGCCGAGCTGGAGACGTGAAAGGGAGACCTGACAGACACCAACATAAAGCGCGTTGAAGCAATCAAGTCGGGTTGTAACAAATGCATGGACTATTTTCAAGATCAGATCCCCAACTGAAGCTTAACTATCTGGCTTAACTGGAAAAAGTTTTTTGTAGAACAGAGTTAATCTGTTTATTAAACGTCTAAAATCTTCCTGAGATTCGTAACAGGCTTCTTAAGATATGGCTGAAAAGAGTCGATATTAACAGGATCAAAGACAGCTGTAGAGCTAGGGCTGAACACAACAACTTCAGTTTTCTCATAAAACTTAAAAAATTTTGAAGCCATCCATGTCTTGATGTCATCCAGGCATTTTAACAGAGGATGAATGGAGCTGGAACTGTTGGGTCTCAAGGGCAGAGAAATCTTGACAATCATCAGCATAACAATGAAATGAAAGACCATGTTTCCTCAGGATAGATCCCAAAGGCAGCAGATGGAGTGAAAATGAAAGGGCACCAAGAATCGAGCCCTGTGGGACTCCACAGGAACGAGGCACTGATGCTGATGCACTATTTCCAACACAAACCTCTGTCACTTGGGTACAAATGGAACAATTCTAATGCTGCACCTGTAATCCCAATCCAGTGTTCTAACCTTGGTATAAGGATACTGTGGTCCACAATATCAAAAGTGGTTAGAGAAGGTGGACCTGTGAAGATCACCGGTTCAACTCCCTGGACCAACAACATCAAAATGTGGATGGAAAAGGTGAAACACCCACACCTGCCTCCACCCTCATTTGCCCCACTCGGGGACCTTAAGCAAGACCCTTAACCCCCACCATCTCCTCTCTTGGGTGCCCTAGCTCTCTGCTCCACATAGAGGGCTGTGGTAGCTCAGTGGTCTGGTTGCATCAGGAAGGGCATCTGCCATTAAAACAATTATCAAGTTTTCATGCGAGTTCGTTCACTGTGGCGACCCCTAAAGAAGGGAGCAGCCGAAAGAAGAAGAAAAAAGTAATTAAATTTGATTTGGATTCATAAAACTGAAAACAAACCATTAAAGTCTTGGGTAGAAAAATAAATGACACAAAGAAAAGATTTCTAAATCACTGCCAAGTCAGTCTTGAGGCTACAGGTTTGAGGTTGTATCCATTCAGTGTAAAATTTCAGTAAATTCACCGTATCGAGACTCAGTCTGAACAACTTAACTCAGAGTATTATATGGAGGGTCAACACGTCCTAAAATAAAATAACTTGTCAGCTAATGAACTGCCATGTGTACTTGTTTTTTACTATAAGAGCTGCTGTGATGGGAGAGCTGTTTGGATGGAAACGTCGACAGTTCTGACGTATTTGTACATATTTACGTTCAGATTTGTTCAGTAACGTGTGCACATTAGAGACTAGGTTAGGCTGAAATGGTAAACTTCCCTTTGTGGACAGAGTTCTGCAGAAGCTGTGTGTTTGACCACAGCCAGTCTCATGTACTGTAGGTCCGTCCTGAGACTCACAGGAACTCGTGCTTAAAAGCAAGTGCCTTGTTTACACTGAGCGCATACCCTCATTTCAGACTTGTATTCAGGATATGTCATATAAGATTCAGGATAAGCTTTTATGTTTACATTTATACTTTGTATTTGCATTTTTAACACATTCGGGTCCACTTTTCCCCAAGAAATATAAATGATTTCTTAGCTTGAAACCACTTTTACTCTGAGTTAAAGACTTGAACTCGTTAAAAAGAATGTTTATGTAATGAACGAGTTACCTGCTCAAAGTTTGGAGAACAGCCAAGACTTTTTAACAAACAAACATCTGCTGGAAACATTTAAAAGTTTATTTAGTTTCACTTTTGTGTTTTGTACTCGGTGGGAATCTTATAAATAATAAATTTCCTTGCAGCTCAAGATGGACATTTTATGTGTTCCTGTAAACTGCAGACAAATAGGAGATTAATCAAATTAATGACCTATTTAAAGCTGTTCTGTGCTTTGCTTTCATTAAATACGTAAACTTCTCCAGCAAATAAAAACTTTATGAACTTTTGTACAATGTAAAGTTATTAGCTGTAGTTTTTTGGGAAGAAGATCCATTTACCTGCTTTCACAAATGAATATGTGAGGATTGATTTAGCTCTGCAGGACCAAGTCAACAGGTTCTCTGTAACTCTGGAAACTTGAGTTTAAAACTTGATGCAGGATGAGGAGGGCATGAAGCCGCTGCAGGAGACACATTGTGGTTTTAGAGAAGAGCAACGGAAAAAATAATTAAAAACACCAAACGTCTGTTCTGTCGTCAACTATGAGCCAAATGACGAACGGTAATTTTCATTCCCTCTGACCCGGAGCAACAGAAATAGATCCAAACAAGATTAAAAGCAAAACCAGCTGGACTTTATTTGTAACTGAAGACGGTTCACTTCATTCAAAGAACAGAGTGCGGGGTTCAAGTTGTAAAGCTGAGCTAAGATACACATGCAGATTGCTCTATCAATCCTCACAATAGGGGTTCATTAAGGTATTTGTTAGTTTGAGTCGCAGCGGAGTGTGGATGCTTATAGCAGAAGAACTTGCTGAGAAACAGCTGAAATTACCAAAAAAAAAATCATGCTGAAATGGAAGAACAAGCCTAAATTAGAAGAAGAAAACAGAAGGAAATATAGGCTTAAAGGAGCTCAAAGAAGTGGAAATTATCTGGGGAAAAAAAACTGAAATTAGCATAAAAACAGCTAAATAGTAGCTGGAATAGCAGGGGAAAAAAACGATAGCAGAAAAAGTATGAAAGGAGCATAATGAGCTAA